TAGTTAGTTATTTTTATTTAAATTAGTAGTAGTATTTTATTATATAGTATTAGTTTTATTATATATATATATATATATATATATATATATATATATATATATATTACGATTTTAGGAGTTGTTCAGGAAGTAATTAGGATTATAATGAATTGTTTTGTTTTATCCAGGGTAAAACTGTTATTACGATTTTTATTTCTAGACTGTTTAGTCAAGTTTGTTGTTGGCTAAGGCCATTTTGTACCCCAAGTAAATGTTTCTAAGTTGGGACTATTTAGTCAAGTTTGTTCTTGACTAAGGCTATTTTGTACCCCAACTAAAATACAAATGGAGGTCTGCTTTTATGGCACGTTCACGTGATTCTATTCCCAAAAGAAGAAAGAAAAGCCCCAAGTTCTTGAAATCCTAGCTGGATTAGGGAAAAATTATGGGTTCCTTTTATTTATTGCTTGTGTTTGACATGAATTATTGTTGTTTTTTTTATTCTCTTCAATTTTTCTATATCAATTTGTCATCAAAGCTTAGTTTTTTTTCAACAACAATGCCAAGAAACTACTATCAAGTCTAGGATTTGATTATTTTTGGCCAAGGATTGCTAATTTCAGCCAAAATTTCGCTAATTTCAACCTAAGGTTCGCCAAATTCAACCTAAATCTTGCTAATTTCTGATAGATTTTGTGGATTCTTTGCCTAGGGTTTGAAATTTCACTAAACCTATGGCCAGCAAGAAGGGGATATAAAATGATAGCTCTTGTGTATATACCTTGTGATGCCAGAGATGAAGAAATTGAAGGTGCCAAGAGGCAAGTTTAGCAGCTTGTACAATAATTTGCAGGCATCATTTATAGGGAAGATGATGATCTTTCTGTTAAAGAAGATGTCAAGTACAACCATTTTCACCAGCATGTTCTACATTAGGAGTTGCATGAAGAGGAAAGTTATAGAAGGTCTAGATATGAGAGGCATCACTCTAGAGTTTTTTGATTTGAAGGTGGACATTCCTGATTTTGGCATAGTTGCATCCAAAATCAGTAGGTTTTAGATTGGGTTTCACCACAAATTTATGCTACATGCTCATGAAGATTAGGATTCGCCACATATTTTTGGAATAGGATCTTGCTTATGAAGATTATAGATAGGAGGCAGCTGAGGGATTGATCAAAACTGATACCATTGAAGATCTCAAAGACATCAAAGAGGTGGAGCATTTAAGAGATTTAGGGCGTTAATAGTTTTAGCACAAGGGGAGTGTAATTTGGAATCATATTAATGAAGGGGGAGTGTGGTTGACTTATAAACCACAAATTGTAGCCTTGGATTTAGAGAATAATGA